GGCGGCAATAGTTCCCCGGAAGTCAGCGGCAAGCTAACTTCCGGGAAACTATTGACGGCTCCACGATCCGCCATTGCTGTAAAAAAACTGGTCCATTGGAGTGAACGGAGATGTCGTAACTCTTCTATTATACGGCTCTGGCCACGGCCATTGCCGTTCGAAAGCGCTGGAGACGCTGTAGTACATATGCCAGGCCTGTAGGTGGTGCTGTTCTCACAGAATCAGCCCTTGCAAAAACAGGGATAAAAAAATGTCAAATTGAGCGAAATGAGGCATGGCTAAAATGCATGATCTGTTTGGTATTTTGAAAACAGAAACGTATAAATATGCCTTATATAGGTATGGTCCTACAATATATCATTTAAATATACCATGATAGGTCCACTTTAATGTTACCTAAGAAGCATGCATAAAAAAGTATTAAGGATAAAAGAAAGTTACACAATTTACAAAATACACATCCTGTAACAGTTCTGAGGATTTAGCAGCCAGGTTTATATTGCACAGATATTAACGGCATATATATATATATATATATTGCACATATTGCACATATTTGGTATTAAGAAATTAAAACATTACAGAACGAAAGCTTGATTTGGATTTAACACACCAGTATAAATGCACTTCATTGAACTCTGAAGATGCTGTTAATGCCACTGTAACTGACCCTAAATTCAATGCAACAAACATAGATGACAGTGTAGAAGATCATTCAGAATCGGTATCAGAATTCCTTTATTAGTCCCATTGTGGGAAATGTAGTGTTGCAACAAAAGTGGCATAGCAGGTAAAAGAAGCATGCGTTAGTAATATAATACAAATAATGACGAATAAGTAGGCATATATGGCTAAAACATATCTGTAGCAGCAATTTAGGTAAAACTAAGGGACATAAGTAGCATATAGACATTTATGAAAATATGTATTTTTTACATAAAGTGATTACAAGCGTGAAATACAAATAAACCCTTTCACAACAAGGGGTGTTGTAGCATAGTCTGTGTTGTTATATGTGTCTACCAGGGTCCATGATGGTTATAAAGTCTGACCGCCGCAGGAAGGAAGGATCTGCGGTATCCAATCGGCAGCCTGTCAACAACGTTATTATAATTCATCCCGAGTTTAACATGTTTGCATCATGTTTATCACGTACGGTAGTTCTATAAATATTGCACAGGACAGGCAAAAGCTATGACCTGCTAGTGGAGCTGTATGAAAAGTCAAGATGAACATACTTGGTAGGATTCACCTTCTCAAGTACATTAATCTCCGTGCTGAGTTTCATGAACACCTTGCCAATATTTGCAGATATATTTCATTCTGGAGCGACATCGCCAAAGAGCCATGCCGCTAGCATAGCTGTAAACGATAGCACTGGATGCTTAACAATAACCACAATCTTTTCCATCCCATTAACTTAAATCATTTTAGGTCAATATTTAAACCCTTCGACTCCTTTAAATGTTTGAACTTACCCTTACTGCATGAGGCATTTTGGTTCAGGTGAATCACCCCGAGAGGAATCTGAAGCAATTAAGTAAGAATGCTTTTTATGAGCGAGACACGGTGTAACTTCATCCAAATGAAAACCTGCCTTCTCTCCCACCTGACATGCTGCCCACATATCTTTACGGCCCATATAGCCTGAGTGTTAATATGAGAGGCCCGTCTGCAGCCAGAGAACGGTCTGGAAGCTTTTCTGAGGACAGATCCACGGTCCAATATGAAACGCTAACCAGGCACTTCTGCCGAAAACCTGATATTTATAGACGGCAGAAATGCGAGCTAGCTAAGCACTTTATATTGAGCAATAGTTAAAAGTGATATCAAAGTCTCCCTGCTGGTTTCTCTCTTTCGACCGGGTTCCTGAAGTCCGCCGGTCCGTAGATCCTTCGATTAAGGTTGCAGGAAACTCCCAAAATAAGTTTATTTTCTGCTGCATGACTGCGTTAAAGTCCTCTTTAAATTATAAGTAGGAACCTTTGAAATAATGTAGAAAACACTGTAGATCAGAGAGGTGAATATCCTATTTTTTCTAACTTGTGTCATGTTCGTATGTTTGCAAAATGTCTTCAAAGTTCAGGAAGTCTTGTCAAAATTGTGTGTGAAATCTGGCATTCATGAGATGTCGTTGTTCCCAGTTATTGTGATTTCGCTATTTTTATATTCGTTTTTATCCTTAAAACCCCTTAAAGTACTTAAATCATGGATCAAACATAAGTTAAAGACAGGATCCCTTAAATTGCTTAGTTTAACCCTTCCCTTTTCTGCAGCTCAGAGAAAAAGCCACTTGATGTGGAAACGGTTAATATTGAGGACTTTAATTCAGTTTTATTGCATTGTTTGTTTTAACAGTTATTACATGCATGTTAAGGCATGCATATCAGGGGGTTTTAAGAGTTTCCCCCCCCCTTTGTTTGGTGTATATATCCGCTAATTTAAGCTGTCTATGAGCGTCATAGCTCTTCGTTAGCATGCCTGTGAACTTTTAGCCTCGTCCTGTGTTCAGAGGTGTCGGGCAGCTGTGGAAACGGAGGCTTAAAACCATCCGATACGATCTCCACAGCTGAAGGCGGTAAGTGAGGCGGCGGTGAAGATCTGACTTCTGGCCAACTTTAAAGGACGAGTCCTCTTGTGAGTCCGGCTGGAGGTTGAGACTGAAAATTAACCGTATTTAAAACACATATTCCGGAAGAAGTCTTTCGCAGTCAATACAGAAAAAACTGTTTTCATACAGTGGCAAAATTCTTATGTTTTTTGTTGGCTGAAAATAAAGTAAGCATCGCAAAGCTAATGGCTTTTATCGCCGCTAAGCTAAAGGCGGCTAATGTTGGGCTATAAAGGAACTACAGCACGGTCACATGACTTCATGTCACCACCGCTAAGCTAAAGGCGGCTAATGTTGGGCTATAAAGGAACTACAGCACGGTCACATGACTTCACGTCACCACCGCTAAGCTAAAGGAGGCTAATGTTGGGCTATAAAGGAACTACAGCACAGTCACATGACTTCACGTCACCACCGCTAAGCTAAAGGAGGCTAATGTTGGGCTATAAAGGAACTACAGCACGTTCACATGACTTCACATCACCACCGCTAAGCTAAAGGAGGCTAATGTTGGGCTATAAAGGAACTACAGCACGGTCACATGACTTCACGTCACCACCGCTAAGCTAAAGGAGGCTAATGTTGGGCTATAAAGGAACTACAGCACAGTCACATGACTTCACGTCACCACCGCTAAGCTAAAGGAGGCTAATGTTGGGCTATAAAGGAACTACAGCACGGTCACATGACTTCATGTCACCACCGCTAAGCTAAAGGCGGCTAATGTTGGGCTATAAAGGAACTACAGCACGGTCACATGACTTCACGTCACCACCGCTAAGCTAAAGGTGGCTAATGTTGGGCTATAAAGGAACTACAGCACGGTCACATGACTTCACGTCACCACCGCTAAGCTAAAGGCGGCTAATGTTGGGCTATAAAGGAACTACAGCACGGTCACATGACTTCACGTCACCACCGCTAAGCTAAAGGTGGCTAATGTTGGGCTATAAAGGAACTACAGCACGGTCACATGACTTCACGTCACCACCGCTAAGCTAAAGGTGGCTAATGTTGGGCTATAAAGGAACTACAGCACGGTCACATGACTTCACGTCACCACCGCTAAGCTAAAGGTGGCTAATGTTGGGCATGATGGCATTTAGTCGTCTCATTTAGCAACCCAGTCTCACGGCATTTCGTGTTATAGTCACAACATGTATTTAATCTATTGATTCGTGTTCACCAACATGAATTTCGCATTTTTGGTAGTATGTTTCGTGCCTTCACCACGTCTTTTTGTCCGGTCGGGTCTTGGAAGACCAGAAGCTGTGTGGTTCATAAAAACATTTTCTTACTCAATATCTTACCCTAAGCCTAACCCTATCCCTTTTATTTTAAATTGTATAATGTTGGAGTTTTTTTGCCGTCCGTGAGGAAAAGAAATGGCTCAGAGCCTCAGAATACTGAAATCTGTATTTTATGTTATCTTTTTTTCCTTCTAATTTGTTATTATTTGGTGCAGGCACGAAACATACTACCAATAGAAATACATTGCTTCTAAAATCGTTCCGTGTCAAAATACTGAAATCTGTATTTTTTTGTATCTGTTTTTCCTTCAAATTTGTTATTATTTACATTGCTTTTAAAATCGTTCTGTGTGACACGAAAACAATTGCAAAATCGTGTTGGTGAACACGAATCAATAGATTACATTTGTGACTATAACACGAAATGCCGTGAGACTGTGTTGCATTTAGACACTTTTAAATGTCTAAATGAGACATATTTTGGGGTATTTTATGTCGTAGAACAAAACGGTTAAAATCTCTTCATCTTGTCACAGACGTTTTTTCAGGATAATAACCAGTGTTTTCGGACCTATTCCTGCACCACTCTTTATAATTTGGCCGAACTTACTTAAATTCATCAAGACTCAGTTTTCAGATTCTTTGTTTAACATGGTGAAAACAAATAGTAATTGATCATTTTGTGGCGGAAGTATTTCTTTAAGACTTTTAATATTTAAACTGGTGTATAAACAGATAACCAACACCTGAAACGTCCCCTTCCCTTTCTCCCATAAACTCTTTATTTCTATCCTCACCGATGCACCCTCAGGTGTTTCTAACCTCCCAGTAGACAGAAGAGACTCTCCTCTTTCCTCGACCCCTCCTTCGTATACGGCTAAACGTTTTGGCCCCTGATGGTTTTATAGTCCTTTTCCTCCCTTTATAGCTTCTCGGTGGCGCTGAGCAGAGTCCTAAAATGATCCCAGGCTCCTCCTCGGCGATGCCTTGTTGATTTGTTGATTTGCAGAGCGACGTTGGCAGGGGTCGATGATATTCCAGCAGCTTCTGGCCGATTGGTCTGAGGATCCTGCATTTCCATAAACAGGGGCTCCATATCCATATCTGAGCCCCCCTATATATATATATATACACCCCGGGGATGATTTCTCCTCAGTGTTATCCTCCTCCTGGACTCTTTCTCCTCGTAGGTGAGCCCAGCTTCTTCTTCATCCTCCTCCTCTTCCTCTCTTGCATGCATTAGTGCCGCTGGTTAATGGACACTGAGTGAAGTTGGTTAAGTGCTAAGGTGAAAAGGTCTCGACCTCGGAGGATTGTTAATAAGTGAAGAGGATGTGATCAGGGTGAAGGAGAGGTTTTAATGAGCCTTCTGACTTTTTTGAAGTATTTGGCTGTTTTGCAAATCAAAAACTCGACTGATTTCGGTAAACTTGAGCGTTTTGAGTGCAGATCGGATTGTTTACACTTTGATCTCTGAGTCATGGTGTTTGGCTGCATGAGATCTCCTGGATATACTTAGAGAAGATGGTTTGATTTTATTGTTTTTGTAGAGTGCTGCAACAGATTGTTATCCTTGCCAGGTATTCTGTAGTCAGATTTAGCCATCGAGACTAAATCTGCCCACGGTTTGAGATTTCTACTTTATTGCAGTTCAGTTTCAGGAGTTTTTCCAGAAATTGCATTGAAATTCCCAAAAGGAAGACGGCATAGAGCTGATGGAAATGATCTCTTAGATTTAGCTGTGACTTATGACTATAGGTGATCATTTTGTATTTTTTTAAAGCTATTAGTTTCCGAATTTGTGTTCAACGCATGGGCTGGACTTTTCTGGGTGTTATATCAGGGGTAAATAAACGTCTTAAAAGATTAAAACATTGCATTTTGATTTTAAATCATTAATCTTGAATGTTGTGGTTACAAACTAAAAATATAGAGATGTTTTGATACCGAAATGTTTTGAAAATATGCAAATAAATGCCAATTTAAGTCCTAAATCAAGTGTGAATATCTCCCGGTGCTCAGATATCTCCAGCTCGTTTTACCGCCTTTTTAATGAGACGGAAAACGAAACCTGAATTATTTATAGTAATAAATAACTCTTGCAATCTGATCAGAGCAGCTTGTTTAAACTGATTTATTTTGGCGTGTGTGTGTGTGTGTGTGGACAGTTATATTCTTCAAGCGTGGTATTAGTGTTTTAATTTAAAATAGTGATCTGAATATTTCCTTTACCATTGACGTTGAGAGTATAGTTATGATTTAGTGTGTGTGTGTGTGTGTGTGTGTGTGTGTGTGTGTGTGTGTGTGTGTGTGTGTGTGTGTGTGTGTGTGTGTGTTGGCATGTCTTCTTGCTGCCGCTGCACATTCCCCCCTCCCTGAAAGGAGTTGAAGTGTTAATTCCCGCGGGATCTTGGGGTTTGAGCACCTGCAGAGAAGCTTATCGCCGGCGTCATGCGACCCAAACCTCGGCGTCCAAATTTAGCTCTGTCAACACTCAGCTGCTCATCAAAAGCTCTCTGAGATTGCCTTTCATACGGAGGAGGGTCTCCCATATTTAAGCGCAGTGCGGATGATAGCATCGTTTATTCTCAATGACTTCTTCTTCTTCTTCTTTTCTGTCAAACAGGCTGTGAAGAAAGGAAACCGCCATCATGTCTGAGTAAGTGTCTCTGCTATCAATGAGTGTTTTTGAAAAAGTGGATTTGTAATTGAAGGAAATATCTACGGATGAGGATTAGGACCACATGATTATTATACTTTTTTTGGTTGATTGAAATATTTGAGTTGATTGAAGTTGGGATTCTGAGATTAAAGTCAAAATTCTGAGGAAACTGTCAGAATTCGTAAAACTAAAGTCAGAATTCTGAGATAAAAAGTCTAAATTCGTATTTCCTTAGAGCTTTGACTTTAATCTCAGAACAAAAATAAATAAATTCACCTTTGGTTGGATCGCAAAAGATGTTCCCATGTGGCGCTAATGGTCTTCCGTAAATATCCTATCATAGTCTGACAACATTTCTGATTGCATGTACAATTCCTGATTTCAAAGTTGTATTTTTAGCGTCAGCATGGATGTGTACCAAGGTCAAACAAATGGACTTAATATGAGCTTTTGTTTTGGGTGAAAACACGTCTAAAGGTTTAATTACAAGGCGTCTGAATCAGCTCAATAAAAGGACGGAAGAATATAAGACATCAAACAAAAAGAGCAACAGAAAGAAGATGGATATAGGAAAGGTGACATTTATAGAAAGGATAGGAAGCAGAGAAAAAGAAATAGAGATTCAGAGGAAAGAACAAAGAATTATGGAGAGACAAAAGAGAGAAGGAACGAAGCAAAAGATGAACAAATAAATTCATTAAATTCAGTAGTTGAACAGCAACAGAGAAAGAGCGAAAGTACAGCACAGATTAATACAATTAAAGATCAACATTTCAATTGGTAAGTAACTGTTAAAACAAGAAATGAATGAAATACACATTTGAGTCCGGATTGTTAGATATATTTACATGTACGTGTGCAGGTCAAAGATATTGTGCAAACAGTGCAGATTTGATACAACGACAAGATGAATGAATAATGTGAAGCAAGATGTAAGGATGAATGTCAAAAAGGAGAAGACGTTAGAGAAGAATAAAGCGTTGTTGTTGTTGTTGTTGTTGTTGTGGTTAAAGGTTTTCTTTTACCCTAAGCGAAGGTCTCAGAACAGAGAGGGCTTTATGTCCGATTGTAAAATAATCCAAAGTGAGATCTGTGATATTCAGTCGTATAAAGAAGAGCTGCTGCAGACAGGATGTATTTATGCACCCTGTGGTTAGCTCAACACCTTTTAGGGTTCACCATACCTCAAACAAACCCCTCTGCTCACTAAGGAGCTTTCATCAGGGGAAAGAGCAATTCAGTATTTTAATAAATGATACCCTAACAGAGTTATTTCTGATCTTTGCAGCAAGAAGATGAACACGAGCCGCAGGCATCATCTGAAGGTACGTTTCAGTCTCTGGTTCAGATGCATTGATGATAAAGCTGCTGATTGGTTAATATGATGTCAACAGTTATCATGACCTGCTTCAATATATGTAAAGTGCAAAAGATAGAGCCTATAATGTGCTTTTTATAACGGTTTTATTAAAGTTAGACATGACTTTGTTTCAGGACCAATAAGTCACTTTTTTCAGATTTAATCAGACATTTTTGTAAAATCGAATCCATCTTTTTTTATTGTCATTTTACTGAAATATATCTGATAATAACATTTAAAAAAAGTCAAAACATCTATTTTTTATTTGTCTTTGAACTTCATTAAATTCATTCATTCATTCAAATATCATTGTTCCTGTTCTATAATATTGTAATCAAACTTTTAAACGTTATTTTCATATCCTCGTGTTTTTCTGCTTTGGGATTCATCCTGCGTGGAAGCTGCTATACATTTATTATTATTAATATTAAAGAATTATATATACAGTTTATAAAGTATATCCTTCTGCATGATGAGTAGTTTAACTTGAGTCTGTTTAAAGCTCTGCGGCGCCCTCTGATGGTGACATCTGTGAAGTGTTTGAAGATTTGGAGCATTTCAAGGAAGCTTCTGATTAAATATAAATAACTTATGGATTGAAAATGTACCTATTATTACTTTTTGCACGTGGAATTAAACAAACATTTTGTGCAAAAACCACAACAGTTTTCACATAAAACTCACATAAGATCTAAAACCTGACAATTATCTGAATTAACCCTTTAAAAATGATGAAATAGAGCCGCACAATTAATCATCATTTTATTGAAATCACAATATCTACTAGTGCAATATCCAAAACTGCAATATCCATCCATCCATCCATCCATCCATCATCCATCCATCCATCCATCCATCCATCCATCCATCCATCCATCTATCTATCTATCTATCTATCTATCTATCTGTTTAAATCCATATTATATCGTCTATCATATCGCAATTGCAATATCATTCAAAATACACTTCCTTTGTATTGATTTATTTCCTGATTGAACAGCCATACAGGTTGTTTCTTCTCCTCCTCTTGACTATCTTCTCCATGTTCCCTGCAGAGTTTGATACTGTCCATAGCGGCCAAGTGGATCGACGAGGAAGTGAAAGAGATCATAGCAGCCAAGGTGGCGTACATGTCCGAAAACTGTCCGAAACCGAGTCTGAGCGGAGATCAGGCCGCCCTCATGGTGAGAGGAAACGCTTCATCAGGACACTATTCACTTTATAGATACATTAAAACACTAAGATACGTGCGGGAAGAGGCAGAACCCCCACAGACAGAGGTGGGAAGCAACTAAGTACATTTACTCACTTCTACTCCACTACAGTTCAGAGGTAAATGGTGTACTTCTACTCCACTACATGTATTTAATACCTTTAGTTACTTCACAGATCTGGATGAATGATGTGAAATATAATCAAGTGTTAAATCAGACTGTAGTTCCACCTGGAGTAAATCCACAAGCTACCCTGCAGTATACAAAGTCATTCAAACTAGCTGCACCTTTACCAGCTTTGAGAACACTTTCATGATCAATCATTATAAAACATATCATATATATTATTCTGAAATGGACCAATCTGCACAATGACTACTTTCACTGTCGCTACTTTCACTATATTTTGATGAGAATACTTTTCTACTTTTACTTGAGGAACATTTTGAATGCAGGACTTTTACTGTAACAGAGTATTCCTACACTCTGGTACTTCTACTTTTACTCAAGTACAAGATCTGAGTACTTCTACTTTTAGTCAAGAACAATATCTGAGTACGTCTACTTTTACTCAAGTACAAGATCTGAGTACTTCTACTTTTACTCAAGTACAAAATCCCTCAACTAAATACTGTTAACATTTCACAGTGTCTTTAGAGATTAGAGATTAAAGTGGACCTATCATGCTATATTTGAATAACATAGTGTAGGACCATACCTATATAAGGCATATTTATACTTTTTTTTTTTCAAAATACCAAACAGATCATGCATTTTAGCCATGCCTCATTTTGCTCAATTTGAAAAATGTTAGCTCTGTTTTTGCAAGGGCAGATTCTGTGAGAACAGCACCACCTACAGGCCTGGCATATGTACTACAGCGTCTCCAGCGCTTTCGAACGGCAATGGCCGTGGCTGTCTCCTCCTGATTGGTGGAGTTGGTCCAATAGCCGTAGCGCCACCGTCCTGACGTCAGGACAGTGTTCAAATCTGGATCAGTTTTTATCAGATCCGTTGCAGCCCCTTTTTTAGAGATTTGGGTATGGAGGAAAATAGAGAGGGTTGTGTTTTCTGACACTTGGTGAGTTCCCTGGAACACCGGGGACACATATTCATGTAGAAAAGACGTACAAAAGTGCATTTTGCATGATAGGTCCCCTTTAAGTTAAAGCTGATTTTGTGACGAAGAAAATTAGCGTTGTTTTAAGATATGGAGAATTAAAAAGTCTGATTCTGATTGAAAGTCTTCCTCAGCAAAGCTTTAGTTTGAAGTATGCTGCCGTCAGTAAAGGCTTGTGATTGGTTGGTAAACATCCCGTCTGTGTGTGTTTTAGGAAGCCTGCAAAAAGATGCACTCCCTCATCGATAAAATGGATGAAGAGCGGTACGACCTGGAAGGCAAAGTTGGCAAAGCCGACAAAGAGGTAGGCGTCCTCCTCTTGCAGCAGTTAACGCTTTTATCTACGTGTTAGTGTCTTAAAAAATGTAATTGAAGTTACTTATTGGAAGGCTTAACAGGTTAAAAAAAAAAAAAAAAAAAAAAAAAAAAAAGAATATATATATATATTTTTTTCCAATGCCATGCGATCTAGCCACACTAGCGATCGACGTATTGGGCACCCCTGATCTAGAGTGTGTCGCAGTCTGTTAGGACCCCTGAGAATGTGTAATAAAATGTGTTTTGCTGATAGATTGAAGACCTGAGGATCAAAATGGTGGATGTGGGCGGCGTGAAGAAGCCCGCTCTGAAGAAAGTCCGTATGTCTGCAGACGCCATGTTGAAGGCTCTTCTGGGCTCAAAACACACCGTGAACATGGACCTGAGAGCAGGTCTGAAGCAGGTCAAGAAGGAGGTCAAAGAGGAGGTGAGGCACACACATGATGCAGCATTTAGAGAACATTCAGCAACTTGAGGGAACATGCGCAGCGTTTACAGAAACGCTGCAGAAACCAAACGCTGCAAATACAAAACGCTGAAGAAGCTCAGAACACAACAGAGACCAGGGGACACTAAAGAGTGACGCACACAGCTGGGAGACCAGGGGACACTAAAGAGTGACGCACACAGCTGGGAGACCAGGGGACACTAAAGAGTGATGCACACAGCTGGGAGACCAGGGGACACTAAAGAGTGACGCACACAGCTGGGAGACCAGGGGACACTAAAGAGTGATGCACACAGCTGGAGACCAGGGGACACTAAAGAGTGACGCACACAGCTGGGAGACCAGGGGACACTAAAGAGTGACGCACACAGCTGGGAGACCAGGGGACATTAAAGAGTGACGCACACAGCTGGAGACCAGGGGACACTAAAGAGTGACGCACACAGCTGGGAGACCAGGGGACACTAAAGAGTGACGCACACAGCTGGGAGACCAGGGGACACTAAAGAGTGACGCACACAGCTGGGAGACCAGGGGACACTAAAGAGTGATGCACACAGCTGGGAGACCAGGGGACACTAAAGAGTGACGCACACAGCTGGGAGACCAGGGGACACTAAAGAGTGACGCACACAGCTGGGAGACCGGGGGACACTAAAGAGTGACGCACACAGCTGGGAGACCAGGGGACACTAAAGAGTGATGCACACAGCTGGGAGACCAGGGGACACGAAAGAGTGACGCACACAGCTGGAGACCAGGGGACACTAAAGAGTGATGCACACAGCTGGGAGACCAGGGGACACTAAAGAGTGACGCACACAGCTGGAGACCAGGGGACACTAAAGAGTGACGCACACAGCTTGGTGACGTTCAGGATTATAAAGCTGAACAACTGACTCTGTTGTTGGAAACTTACCTGAAATGTTTTATGGGCTTATTTTAACAATGTGATCACATGACTTGCAGCTATTTTACTCAAGTTGACCAAAACATTTGGTGACAAAAAGAGAAAAAAGTTGATGACAAAACTAAATGTTGGCAACAGAACAGGTAAAAGTTGATGACAAAAAAAAAAATTGGACAAACATTTTTTTACAAAAAGAAGTGGACCAAAATTAAAAAAATGGATTCCCAAAAAAAAAGAAATACATTTATTGTTGGTGACTAAAAGAAGAAGAAAAAAGGAACATTTGCGTCTTTTTTAAAGTTGAACAACTGTCTCTGTCTCAGAGTTAGTCGTCTTATAACTGTAAGTGTTTGTCAGTATATCTGAAATGAATAGGTTAGCTACGTTAGCTAGCTAGCTCACAGCAGATCTGCAGTAACATCAGAAGCAGTCATGTGATCACATTGTTAAAATAAGACCATCAAACATTTTTGGTAATTTTCCAACAACAGTCATTGTTTTGTTGTTTCTCCTAATGTAAGTATTTTTGAGCCGTTGTAGAGCGCTTGCCCTCTGTCGGCCACCATACTTTTGTAATAGAGAAACACGACAAAACAAACCCCAATTAAAAACACAAAAATAAAATGTTTGCTTGTCCCTTCTTTATCTCTCTGTCCTTGCTGTTGCTAGGCAGATTTCAGACGTGATCAGACACCATTTTGTCTATTTTTTTACGGTGATTTCTGTGTTGTTTCTTGCAGCCTGCAGAGGCTGCGGGTGACTGGCGTAAGAACATCGAGGATAAGGCCGACAGGAAGAAGATGTTCGAGACCACCTAAAGACTTTTTAAGGAACTTTTAATTGGATTTTGAAGTTTTTGTTTCATTAAAACTGTCAGTTTCAGCTTTGGTCTGCTGTTATTGTGAAGTGAACGTCCCTCTTGGATTAATTAGGGCTTTTATTTGAGACTTCCCGTTTCCTTTACTGTGCTGATGTTCACTTTGGACAACTTCCTGCCGCTGCGTAGTGTTTCTGTTTTTAATAAATGTGTTTCTGTTTCCTACACCTTGCCATGAGGTATTCTGTCTTTGACTCAGTGACGCACAGCGCTGCAATAGAAGTGAACAGCGCCTTCATCAGATTTATCTAAACAAATCACAAGAATTCACATGTTTTCTGTTTGTTTTTGTCCAAAGCTGGCCCTGAAACAGAACAAATGCTTATTTTTGTTTAATTAAAGTGCCTGAAAAGAGATTAACTGAAAGCATAGAGACGAATCCCTTTCAAAATGATTCTTTATTCAATTTACCCTTCATGTTACACTTAAATCTAATTAAAACAGTGAAAAACCCATTGAGTTTGAGCTTTTGCTGATTGTTATCGAAGTTTAATAATACGTTTTGTTCTGTTAATTGGCCGTTTTCCGAGCTTTAACGAGGTTGTGTTTCTCTTTGTGGTGCTGTGATGTCACTGAGGTAAACACATTATATCCATGTTTCCACTCCGATGTGTTCAGGGAGATGTGAAAAGTGAATGTTTTCATTTTTTATTTGCTTTAGGAAAATACCCTTTTGGTAATTTACTGCTGAGTTTAAATGATAAAATGAGAGGCCAGTGAGGAAAAACTGCATTTTGGTAAAACCATTTTCACCGGGTTAGGGTTAGAGTTAGGGTTAGGGTTAGAGTTAGGGTTAGGGTTAGATTTAGGGTCCATGTTAGGGTTAGGGTTAGAGTTAGAGTTAGGGTTAGGGTTAGAGTTAGGGTTAGATTTAGGGTCCATGTTAGGGTTAGGGTTAGAGTTAGAGTTAGGGTTAGGGTTAGGGTTAGAGTTAGGGTTAGAGTTAGGGTTAGGGTTAGGTAGGGTTAGATTTAGGGTCCATGTTAGGGTTAGGGTTAGGTAGGGTTAGGGTTAGATTTAGGGTCCATGTTAGGGTTAGGGTTAGATTTAGGGTCCATGTTAGGGTTAGGTAGGGTTAGGGTTAGATTTAGGGTCCATGTTAGGGTTAGGGTTAGGTAGGGTTAGGTAGGGTTAGGGTTAGGGTTAGGGTTAGACATCAATCCCACCAGTTTCAAAGAATTACAAATATTTCAGATTTTGTTTTAACCCGACGTAGAAAATATATAAGCAGGGCTTCCATAATGGAGAAACAAGACCCAACAAAAAACGATATATATATATGATAAAATGTTCTAAACTTAACGTTAAATACTGTTTTTACTAGTTTTGTGTATTTCCTTTTAGTCATTTTGTGTCTTTTGTTTGTTATTTTGTGTTTTTTGTTTCTTTTGTTTCTCTTTTTACTAATTTTGTGTCTTTTGCTAATCATTTTGTGCCTTATTGTAGTTATTTTGTGTCTCTGTGTTAGTTGCTTCATGTCTAGTAGTTGTCAGTTTGTGTTTCTTTTTAGTCATTTTGTGTCTTTTCTTAGTAATTTTGTGTCTCTTTCTGGTTGCTAAGTTTGACATTGAGTGACATTTCTATTTTCCTAACTTTAATCTCCTCACTTAGAATTATTTAAGCAACGTGCAAAGATTGAATTGATTGTTTTTCTACCACTTTAATTCATTTGGAAGACGACAGTAGGTTGTTTGTTTTACCTCCAATACTTCAGTTAGTCATGACGTCTCTTATGAAACGATATCATTACACCTGTCTCTTATCTGCAGCTCCACTCGATGCTAGAACAGATTTAAGGTGTTGTGACCTGTACCGACCACACAGTGTCAGCAGAGGACTGTTTCATCAGCATTAGCTGCACAGAAATACTCAGACTATTTATTAAAAAAAAATACTTAACCTCAATCTGTCAAGTATTTAATAAATAGCAGATAAATACAAAAAAATGTGTGCTGTAAAGGAAGACTTTATAGAGTCTCTTTAAAATCTTTAATTTTTTTAAAGTATTTTGTCTTATTTACTTTATCTCCCTTGTGTTAATGTTCTGTCTCTGTGTCTTTTCATAGTCGCTTTTTTTACTCTGGGTAATGTTGTGTCTCTGTGGTCGTTTTACATCGTTTCGTGGTCATTCTGTGTCTATGAGTGCTTTTTGGTTGTTTGGTTCTAGTTCTGTTTCTTTTTTAGTCTCTTTGAGGAACGTCCTCGTTGCTTCGAGTTTCTTAGGCCGTAGATTTTTCATAGTCGAAAATCCATTAACTTATTCCTCCACTGATAAAATATGTCCTGATGGAGGGGGACTCGGCTCATTCAAGCAGAAGGTGAGATACTTGGTTTTTTATTTTTGTAAATAAACGTCTCTTACTCACAAACTGCATTTATTTATATAATTGTGTTTCTTTTGTTTCAGTTGCTGGACCTGAAGCTGCAGCTGCAGCACGTGAGTTGTCTTTAAAGATTTCCTTTGACAAGAATATACCTACAGTATATTTGATGATAAACTGCATAACTGTTAACTGTAAACAAAACTTCATATTTAGATAGTAAATATCTTAAAAAAAATCTTCAATAAATCTTCAAAGATCTTCAAAAAATATGTTTAAAACATTTTGAGCTCTAAAATAAACAAGGAATAATACCAAAAACATTTTGAAAGAAGGATTTTAAGGAGAAAAAGGAGCTTGCAGGTCAGATTTTCTCCAGAGGCCCGAACAGAGAACACTAATGCAGTAATTAAACAATCACAGAGAAACTAAATGACATTTTCTGCCTCCATTGATCACACGACACCATTATTACCCCCATGTTTACTGATTCCCCCCCCCATGAGGAGAAAAAGCGGATGCAGATTTACGACCCCTCCGTCAAAGGATGAAGGGATTTCAGGGAATCTTCAAAAGTTTTCTGAAAAATCTTCCAAAAATCTTTAAAAGTTTTTTAGCAAATCTTCCACATGTCTTTTTCAGCAAATCTTCAAAAAATCTTCATAAGTTTTCTGAAAAATCTTTAAAAATCTTCAAAAAATCTTCACAAGTTTTTTAAAAAATCTTCAAAATATCTTTAAAAGTTTTCAAAAAATCTTCCAAAATGTATTCCAAAAAATCTTCTTAAAATCTTCTAAAAATCCTCCAAAAATCTTCCCAAAAAATCCTTAACCTGTTTCACACCATCCCCACGGTACCGGGCGGATAAACGCGTCATTTGCAGGAAACAACGTCTAAGGAATCTTAATATTGAATAAAACTATGAATGTGTTATATCCATGTAACGGGAAGAAACTCAGCTAACTGATCTTTTTAATTTTTTTTTTCAAAAAACCCCCACAATGCTAGCACTCAGCCTCTGAATTAGCCTCGATCGAAAAAACGGAACCTACAAAGGCACTTAAACTCACTCATAACTCCCTTATTACTTATCCTAGATGCACAGCCAACCACTCGTTTTTGGTGTCCTGGAGACACTGAATCTGTGTAAAAAACCTCAACACTCAGTGATAAACATTCGCGACGCTATAAACGAAAGCGTACATCATCACATGTGGAGCTAAGTAGCTAACAAACGTAAATATGGCTTACCTTGGTCAAAAGTGGTCTTCAATGGCATTAAAACGATAAAAAAACGATGCTGCAGTTAATCCATAGGTTCATCCTATGTGTCTGTGCCTTCTTTGGAATTTTTCTGATAATCCATAAGCAATACAACTGCGTTTTAGTTTCCAAACTCCAGAAGGAGACATTCCTCCACTTTGGTTTCGTTTTCCACACGCGAAGAGCCCACATTTTTTCTTTACAACGTGTGTGAGTGGGCCTCCCCCTTCGATTCTATTGGCTCTAACGGTCACAAGGGTATGTCAACCAACCAAATCGAGCAAGGGGGGCCAGAGATAGGTCAAATCCACCCAAATGACCCCAGATGGCCCAGTTTTTGGCTAAATCTCTCTAAAAAGGTCAAATTTCACTTGTTTTGCATCAATCTTGATACAGGGTACTTATTATATGTTGTACTTTGGATTCCTAAAGCTTTTAGTCTACTAACCCATCATCCAAGGGTAGTTTTCACTATCTGTAAAAAATAATTTTTGGACGGACACTATAATTTACAGTTTTTTACTATGTAAAATCTGAATTTTCTTTAAAATAAAAAACATTTATATTGATTCTGACACTTCTACATCCAACTCACAGGTTTATCATTACTTTGAGAAGAAAGATTATTAATTTAACCCTTTTAGAAGGGAAGATATGGTCATTTGTTCTGGGAATGTCATTTTCGAGTCTGAGACCTGAAAAACAGGCTCAGAGTGGAACAGGTTAAACAATGAAAAAACAACAACGAAAAAACGTACCAAAAACGTTGCAAAATGTGTCATTAAAGGTGGGGTAGGTCATTTTTGAGAAACCGGCTCGAGTGCGCTAGAATTTGAAAATACACAGCCGGAAAAAATCTGCCACTTCCTTACAGAGCCCCTCCTCCAACACACACGAACGCGCACATGACCAATGAGGGCACGAGATAAGTCTGTGCACAGATGGAAGGCTGACAGGCAGGTAGGCCATCCAGTTATTTTAGCCGGGCCGGCTAAAAAGTGGATCTCGAGCCGGTTTCTCAAACTTACCTACCCCACCTTTAATACTCCATTGTTGTTGTACTTTAGATAGTTTTTACCATTTTTTTCTGCTCTTTGTGACGTCTTATCATAACTATTTAATCCATAAGAACCACCGCTGTAGTGTTTAGTAATTATAAAGAATCAGCAACAAAATCAGCTGCTATCTGAAGTTTACCTGGCATTAAATCACTTGTTCCTTCTCCAGCGGATGTAGCGTTAGCATTAGCTTGATATAAAGTCACGTTGAGATGTTTCTGTGCCTCAGATTGAAGACCTGAAGATGAAGGTGGTGGATCTGGCTGGAGTGAAGAAACCCGCTCTGAAGAAAGTGCGTATGTCTGCAGACGCCATGCTTCAGGCTCTGCTGGGAGGAAAACACAAGGTGACCATGGATCTGAGGTCCAGCCTGAAGCAGGTCAAGAAGGAGGTCAAAGAGGAGGTGAGGAAGGAGCACGCATGATCAGAGAAGCTTGAAATTAGCTCTACAGTTATTTTAGCCGGGCCGGCTCAGATGATTGGTCGTGCTTTTTACAGTACTACGGCTTCCACAGATGACTTTTTTTATGGATTTTTTGTCAAAGCACTTCAGATATTCATTGCTATCGGGATGTTAAGAGCATTCCATGGAATATAACAAAAAGTGTATCTCGAGCCGGTTTCTCAAACTTACCTACCCTACCTTTAATGATAAGATTTAAAACACTTTGTGCTCTAAAATAAACAAGGAATAATACCAACAACATTTTAAAGAGGGATTTTAAGGACAAAAAGGTCAGACTCCCTCAGACAGTGAGGAACACACTTATTGCAGTAATTAAACAATCACATAATGATGTTTCTTTCTGCCTCCATTGATCACACGACACCATTATTACCCCCATGTTTACTGCCCCCCCTCCTCACTCTGCAGCCCTCTTCCTGTCCCATGAGGTCTGAGAAAAAGCCAGATATTATTTAAAAACCTCCACACATCTCAATCTGTTAAGTATTTAATAAAAACAGGTAAATACAAAGTGTGGTCATTTTTGTAATTAAACAATCACAGTAACACATAATGATATTTTTTCTGCATCCATTGATCACACGACACCATTATTACCCCCATGTTTACTGATTCCCCCCCCCCCCCCCCATGAGGAAAAAGAGCCCCCAGATGCAGATTTATGACCCCTCGGTCAAAGGATGACGGTATTTCTGGAGCTCATTGGTCCCAAAGTTCCTCAACACCATAAAAGAGGAACCTCCGAATCCCCGTCCCCGCACATATAAACCCCCCCAGATTTCACTTTTTTTTTGTCCGTGACTCGCTCTGTGTCCTTCACGTCTGTTCGCCTCTCGCCGCTCTGTGGGTGAGAAACTTTGAAATCACTGTGATGCTCTGGGGGAAATTAATAATATGCACAACAATGATTTATACTTTATAGTGTTGTTTCACTGTGACGGCTGCAGGATATAGAGTTCTTTTCTGATTATACGATAAGAAATAATCGTGCTTTTAGACATTTGATGGTAACGGAAC